AATGTTTAAGTATATATATAAAAAGCTTAGCATCCCTAACTTAATGGCGGTGATCCGATTGGATTCTGCTGTTAGGTTGTGCGGTGTTACATTTTTGGTATCAGAGCGGAGGTTTAAAATCTTTTCTGAAGACAGAAGAAGGCATATGAACATACTTTGGCTGGGAAGCTAGGTTAACTCTTTTCTTATTTACCTATGTGTTTAATTTATATGTTGCATAGCAAATATCCAGAATTGTTCGGTACGTCAAATTTCGAGGGCGAAATTTTATAAGGAGGGAAGAATTGTAATGCCCAACCATCCATACATGGCCAATAATAAGCATATTGCATCAATGCATATAGTTATAATTCATTATTCATGATGCATGATCACGACTACTTGCTACACATGTGCCTTAATTGTGTTTTAATACGTGATCGAATACTTTTCTTAAACTGTGATAATATATGATACATGTTATTGAACTTCTACTTTATGATTTAACATTAACTTAAATGATTTATTGTAGTGAGAAGTTAAGTTTCTCGCTAAACGGTGATATATTTGTCTTAGATGCATTTCTGCATTTTAATTATGATTAATTACATATGTAATTATTTGAAGTAACTCATACTAGACTAAAACCAAAAGTATGCAAAATGGTGCATTTTGATTGGTTGGTTGACTAGGTTGCACGAGACCATTCTGAAATTGTTTACACTTGATTATAATGAGTATGCATCAGCCCATTTCTTATCTCAAGCTATAAAAACGTGGAGGAACCACAAGAATCCAGCAAATACAAGCCTTCCAATCACCATCCTCCATTTGGCCTTGTTGGGAATGGGTAGATAAGTGAAGACTTTGTGTTTTGGTCTTCATTTTCACTTGTCTTCTTCCAAAAATGACCAGACCTATTTCCTTAATTTTGTCTTCATATTTCTTCACTTCCATACTCACATAAGAGAGCATCAAACCATAAAAACTCATAGAAGTAGAGCTAGAACAAGTTCTGCACCTTTTCTAGCTGAAAATCCTATGTTTTGAAGTTGAATTCATCTCTAATCAAGGCTTCTAGCACACCTTATCTAAAACTGATCCTTTCATTTCATAAACCATTATTGATCTTGAGGTAAGTTGAAGCTTTCATTTGCACATCGTAAGAACCTAATTATGTGCGCTTTAATGTGACTTTTGCTATGTATTCTCTATAATGTTTGAATGATTGATGAGTCATAGTGATATGAAAGAATATGTTTTGAAAATGGGAGTATGGTACTTGATTGATGGTCGAGTAGGCAAGGGACGCAGGAGGAACCGGCGGACCCAACACATGGTGGCAAATACCTGAGGTCGAAAGACCAGTATGGAAAACCCACAATTAAAGAAATGAAATACGGCTAATACCTGAGGTCGAAAGGCCGGTATGGAAACCCCCGTATTATCTATTGGCCAAATTTGATGAACAGGTTCCGAAAATCAAAGTCTATTGCTATCAGTCAAGTACCACACTTCAAGGGTACCCGATAAAGAGAAGGATTTCAAAGAAAAGGATCACGAATGAAGTTATAGATGTGATATTGTACTTATTGAATAGATAATGTGTTATGTGATTGATATATTGCTATTACATCAGTTTCAACTTGCTGAGCCATTAGCTCATTAGGTTCTTATGATGCAGGTAATGATGTACATGTTTAGAAGTTGACCTAGCCAAGAGCGGCCAGTCAGATATTTGTTCATATGCCATGCTTCGAGCCATTTTTGTAGCCGAGCAGAAACTCTGATTTCATTTTGTTAGCCGCTCTATTATGGTTTTTGTACAATGTAATTTTGTAAACAATGAATATATATATGTACGGATTTTGAGAAAGTACAAAGTTTGATTTCTTTTCAAAGCATATAACGTATTTTTGTATTAAAACCATAATGTTTAAGTATATATATAAAAAGCTTAGCATCCCTAACTTAATGGCGGTGATCCGATTGGATTCTGCTGTTAGGTTGTGCGGTGTTACATTTTTGGTATCAGAGCGGAGGTTTAAAATCTTTTCTGAAGACAGAAGAAGGCATATGAACATACTTTGGCTGGGAAGCTTGGTTAACTCTTTTCTTATTTACCTATGTGTTTAATTTATATGTTGCATAGCAAATATCCAGAATTGTTCGGTACGTCAAATTTCGAGGGCGAAATTTTATAAGGAGGGAAGAATTGTAATGCCCAACCATCCATACATGGCCAATAATAAGCATATTGCATCAATGCATATAGTTATAATTCATTATTCATGATGCATGATCACGACTACTTGCTACACATGTGCCTTAATTGTGTTTTACTACGTGATCGAATACTTTTCTTAAACTGTGATAATACATGATACATGTTATTGAACTTCTACTTTATGATTTAACATTAACTTAAATGATTTATTGTAGTGAGAAGTTAAGTTTCTCGCTAAACGGTGATATATTTGTCTTAGATGCATTTCCGCATTTTAATTATGTTTTAATATGATTAATTACATATGTAATTATTTGAAGTAACTCATATTAGACTAAAACCAAAAGTATGCAAAATGGTGCATTTTGATTGGTTGGTTGACTAGGTTGCACGAGACCATTCTGAAATTGTTTACACTTGATTATAATGAGTATGCATCAGCCCATATCTTATCTCAAGCTATAAAAACGTGGAGGAACCACAAGAATCCAGCAAATAAAAGCCTTCCAATCACCATCCTCCATTTGGCCTTGTTGGGAATGGGTAGATAAGTGAAGACTTTGTGTTTTGGTCTTCATTTTCACTTGTCTTCTTCCAAAAACGACCAGACCGATTTCCTTAATCTTGTCTTCATATTTCTTCACTTCCATACTCACATAAGAGAGCATCAAACCATAAAAACTCATAGAAGTAGAGCTAGAACAAGTTCTGCACCTTTTCTAGCTGAAAATCCTATGTTTTGAAGTTGAATTCATCTCTAATCAAGGCTTCTAGCACACCTTATCTAAAACTGATCCTTTCATTTCATAAACCATTATTGATCTTGAGGTAAGTTGAAGCTTTCATTTGTACATCGTAAGAACCTAATTATGTGCGCTTTAATGTGACTTTTGCTATGTATTCTCTATGATGTTTGAATGATTGATGAGTCATAGTGATATGAAAGAATATGTTTTGAAAATGGGAGTATGGTATTTGATTGATGGTCGAGTAGGCAAGGGACGCGGGAGGAACCGGCGGACCCAACACATGGTGGCAAATACCTGAGGTCGAAAGACCAGTATGGAAAACCCACAATTAAAGAAATGAAATACGGCTAATACCTTAGGTCGAAAGGCCGGTATGGAAACCCACGTATTATCTATTGGCCAAATTTGATGAACAGGTTCCGAAAATCAAAGTCTATTGCTATCAGTCAAGTACCACACTTCAAGGGTACCCGATAAAGAGAAGGATTTCAAAGAAAAGGATCACGAATGAAGTTATAGATGTGATATTGTACTTATTGAATGGATAATGTGTTATGTGATTGATATATTGCTATTACATCAGTTTGAACTTGCTGAGCCATTAGCTCATTAGGTTCTTATGATGCAGGTAATGATGTACATGTTTAGAAGTTGACCTAGCCAAGAGCAGCCAGTCAGATATTTGTTCATATGCCATGCTTCGAGCCATTTTTGTAGCCGAGCAGAAACTCTGATTTCATTTTGTTAGCCGCTCTATTATGGTTTTTGTACAATGTAATTTTGTAAACAATGAATATATATATGTACATATTTTGAGAAAGTACAAAGTTTGATTTCTTTTCAAAGCATATAACGTATTTTTATATTAAAACCATAATGTTTAAGTATATATATATATAAAAAGCTTAGCATCCCTAACTTAATGGCGGTGATCCGATTGGATTCTGCTGTTAGGTTGTGCGGTGTTACATTTTTGGTATCAGAGCGGAGGTTTAAAATCTTTTCTGAAGACAGAAGAAGGCATATGAACATACTTTGGCTGGGAAGCTTGGTTAACTCTTTTCTTATTTACCTATGTGTTTAATTTATATGTTGCATAGCAAATATCCAGAATTGTTCGGTACGTCAAATTTCGAGGGCGAAATTTTATAAGGAGGGAAGAATTGTAATGCCCAACCATCCATACATGGCCAACAATAAGCATATTGCATCAATGCATATAGTTATAATTCATTATTCATGATGCATGATCACGACTACTTGCTACACATGTGCCTTAATTGTGTTTTAATACGTGATCGAATACTTTTCTTAAACTGTGATAATACATGATACATGTTATTGAACTTCTACATTATGATTTAACATTAACTTAAATGATTTATTGTAGTGAGAAGTTAAGTTTCTCGGTAAACGGTGATATATTTGTCTTACATGCATTTCTGCATTTTAATTATGTTTTAATATGATTAATTACATATGTAATTATTTGAAGTAACTCATATTAGACTAAAACCAAAAGTATGCAAAAGGGTGCATTTTGATTGGTTGGTTGACTAGGGTTGTTTACACTTGATTATAATGAGTAAGCATCAGCCCATATCTTATCTCAAGCTATAAAAACGTGGAGGAACCACAAGAATCCAGCAAATACAAGCCTTCCAATCACCATCCTCCATTTGGCCTTGTTGGGAATGGGTAGATAAGTGAAGACTTTGTGTTTTGGTCTTCATTTTCACTTGTCTTCTTCCAAAAATGACCAGACCTATTTCCTTAATTTTGTCTTCATATTTCTTCACTTCCATACTCACATAAGAGAGCATCAAACCATAAAAACTCATAGAAGTAGAGCTAGAACAAGTTCTGCAACTTTTCTAGCTGAAAATCCTATGTTTTGAAGTTGAATTCATCTCTAATCAAGGCTTCTAGCACACCTTATCTAAGACTGATCCTTTCATTTCATAAACCATTATTTATCTTGAGGTAAGTTGAAGCTTTCATTTGCACATCGTAAGAACCTAATTATGTGCGCTTTAATGTGACTTTTGCTATGTATTCTCTATGATGTTTGAATGATTGATGAGTCATAGTGATATGAAAGAATATGTTTTGAAAATGGGAGTATGGTACTTGATTGATGGTCGAGTAGGCAAGGTGTTGGGTTTCGGGCACGCATACGCAGCGGAAAACAAAAATTTTATGCGAATTAAACAACTTTAAATCACACTAGTACATGCCCGACAAATTAAATCAATTAATTGCGTACCTTTGCGCTTCCAGCGAAATTAAAAAACAACATACATGCTAAATAATTTAACCGAATTTAAATCAATTAACATGCTCGCGTTTAAACCAAATAACATGCTTGCAATGATTTAAATCGATTACACATAATCACATAAAATCATGCGAAACAAACATGAATACATATACACAGGTTTAAACGAAAATGAATCGAAACTAGGGTTTCGTGTGTTTACCTCTCGACGCGTGAGGTAGGAGCGTTTAGCAAGTCGAGATTGCTACGGAAACCAATCCGTACAATCGGGGCAGCAGCGGTGCAGCGGCAGATCGGCCCACGGCGGCGCCTGAGGTACACGCGCGGTCTTCCGGGGCGGCGCGTGGGGCAGCGTGCGGCTTCGGCTTGTGCGTTGCTCCTCGATTCTTCGATCTACAGTCTTCCTCCTCTCGGATTTCACCTCGTATACTTCGATCTACTAAACACGTGGTACTAGACACGTAATAGTTAGAAAAACGGAAGAAAAAGAGAAGGAAAGAGACTACCAAGCCAATCGGCCGATCAACGGCCGATTCCGGCAAAGCGGCGGAGTGGGCGGCGGTGTTGGCCGTGGGAGAGAGAGGCCGAGAGAGAGAGGGGTGGACGGCTAGGGTTAGGATTTTTTTTTTGTGTTGTGTGTGCAAGGCCTATAAATCATGTATTTATAGTCCCTTGCATAAAACCCTAACGGGCTTTAGTTGGACCGGGCCCAACAGCTTAAGCTCGTTAGTTCCTTTACTTGCTCGTCTCTCTCAATTCAATGATCGGAAAATTGCAACGATTACATTTTCGGAATCATCATAATGTCCTCGTCATTACGAGTGCCAACTCTCAATTTCCAACTTTCCAAAAGTGGAAACCCTAGTTCAGTGCACTTTCTAAATTTGGAAACTTCCCGATTTAGAAAGTTCACTAATACTTTCGCCTATTCTTTTCCTTTTCTTATTCTCATTCGTAATTCCATATTACGAATGTTGGACTCAATCATATTGATTTCCAATCATGCAAAGATAAACTATTTTATCTTTGACCGTTTATTCAAAGATCTCATGTGCACGAGCAGTGTGACCCTCGATGGTTCAGGTGTAAGCTAGCCGTGGGCCCACAACCCTTTGTGGTCAAAACTCGTCCCCTTCGAGTTACGATTAAGATGAAACTCGTTTCACCTTAATCACCCAACGAATCAAGATATGCGTCTAGCAACTACGCGTCATGATTCCCTAGATACAAATGAAGTGCCTGCAAGAACCTTCAGATATAGTTAACGTACAGTACGGTCCCTTCGATATATATGTCCCGATCGAACTAGAGGCATTGGTTCATCGAGACCTCTTTATATGTTCGATGACGGTGCGATCGTTCCAAGTGTTGTAATCGTCACGTGCATGACTTAGAGAATCGAATTCTTTAATCATCACTTAGTCAGCTCTGGCCAGAGACTTAGAATGATCACAAACTTTCAGAACACACAGGACATCCAAGACTATTCTAGCGATCGAATCCCCGACTACAATGCACAGACCTCCCACTAGATTTCGGACTGCACGAACACTGGCCCTTGGGATGGTCCTGGGTGGAACTCAGGGACAGGTCACGATACAGCTGGTCCTCTAGTGAAGTCACGGTGATGTCTAGGTCATAAGGACTAATGGTGTACAACTATACCATAGATATCTCTACTCGATTATTGGGAACCACTTAGAGATTTCTAGGGTGAGGGAGTTCAGTGAACTCGTCAAGTTACGAGCACCCACTTATGCATGCCGATATCACAATACCGTTTACTGATGAGATGCAGTACACATACACTAAGTGCTAGTCTTAATGGGAAAGGCCGATATCCTCATTAGTGGCGTAACCCTTCGACTAGGAACACGTTTAACAGTTATAATACTTAAGTAAATATCTCACGATCCTAACGATCAATTACTAGTACTTGTAATAACTGTAAGGACTATATCAATGCTTGTGACAAAGGGACAAAGATATAGAATGCCAATGTGTTTTATCATTAATACGAATAAAGGTTCGTTTATTACAATAATAAATACGAAAGACCACAGCCACAAGTTGGCTTGTTGGTCACCTACTCTAACAATCTCCCACTTGACCTAAAGCCAACTACCCATGAATCGCAATCCCATCGACTCTCGATGTTTCTCATGGACCGATCTTGGTAAAGGCTTCGTGAAGGGGTCTGCAACGTTCTCTTCCGAGGTGACTCGTTCAACCTTAACTTCACCTCTATCAATGATCTCTCGGATCACGTGATACTTCCTCAGAATATGCTTCGACTTCTGATGAGATCTCGGCTCCCTAGCTTGCGCCAAGGCTCCTGTGTTATCACAGTACAACGGTACTGGATCACTAGCACAAGGAACGACACCCAACTCTTGGATGAACTTCCTTATCCAAGTCCCATCTTTTGCAGCTTCAGACGCTGCAATGTATTCCGCTTCGGTAGTGGAATCGGCCGTCGTGCTTTGCTTGGAACTCTTCCAACACACGGCACCACCATTAAGCGTGAATATAAATCCAGAATTCGACTTTGAGTCGTCCACGTCCGATTGAAAACTAGAGTCAGTGAAACCCTCTAATTTCAACTCGGCACCCCCATAGACCAAAAATATATCCTTAGTCCTTCGCAAGTACTTGAGGATATCTTTCACGGCTTTCCAGTGAGCCGGGCCGGGGTTAGACTGATATCTGCTTGTGACACTCACAGCATACGCAATATCGGGTCTCGTACATAGCATGCCATACATTATGCTTCCTATGGCAGAAGCATACAGCGTCCTTTTCATCTCCTCGATTTCACTAGGTGTTTGCGGACACATAGATTTCGAGAGACGAACCCCATGGGACATTGGCAAGAATCCCTTCTTGGATTCTTCCATGCTAAACCGTTTCATAACGGTGTCTATGTACAGGCTTTGGGATAAGCCAAGCATCTTTCTCGCTCTATCTCTATAGATGCGTATTCCTAATACATAAGATGCTTCTCCCAAATCCTTCATTGAGAAACGTGTGGACAACCATGCTTTCGTTTGCTGTAACATTCCTACGTCATTCCCAATGAGTAGAATGTCATCAACGTAAAGCACTAGAAATATTACTGCCCTCCCACTAACCTTCTTGTATACACAAGGTTCTTCCGGATTCTTCTCAAAATCAAACTCTTTGATAGTTGAGTCGAACCTAATGTTCCAACTACGGGATGCTTGCTTCAATCCATAAATGGATCGCTGGAGCTTGCAAACCTTTTGCTCACTTCCAGAAGATATGAAGCCTTCCGGCTGCGCCATGTAAATTTCTTCCTCAATATCTCCATTAAGGAAGGCGGTCTTCACATCCATTTGCCATATCTCGTAGTCGTACCACGCAGCTATGGCCAGCAAAATCCTAATGGACTTCAGCATCGCGACTGGCGAAAAGGTTTCCTCATAGTCAACACCTTGCCTTTGAGTGTATCCTTTTGCTACCAATCTAGCTTTATAGGTCGATACCTTTCCATCCACTCCAATTTTCTTCTTATAGATCCACTTGCAGCCTATAGGAACAATTCCTTTGGGTGGATCTACCAAGGTCCATACCTTGTTGGAGTACATGGAGTCCATTTCGGATTTCATGGCAGTTAGCCAATGTCCCATGTCCGCATCCGATACGGCCTCATTGTATGTTCTTGGATCTCGTCCAAGATCAACATGATCTTCATCATTTTCGAGGAGGAATAACCTATCCGGCATTTTCCGAACTCTTTCGGATCTACGTACCGTAGGTTCAGGAGGTATATTAATGGTTTGTTGTATTGGTTGGATTGCTTGTTCTTGCGTTTGAACTTCATTTTGTGGTTCTTGAACTACTTCAAGTTCTATCATGCTGCCCTTTCTATCGGATAGAAACTCCCTTTCCAAAAAGGTGGCATTTCTCGAAACAAACGTCTTTGCTTCTTTGACATAGTAGAACTCGTATCCCATCGAGTCTTCGGGATACCCCACAAAATAGCATAAGTCGGATTTACTATCCAACTTATCTCCCACTAATCGCTTCACATAAGCGGGACAACCCCATATCCTAATATGTTTGTAGTTGGGTTTCCGGGAATGCCAAAGTTCATAAGGTGTGGATTTAACTGCTTTGGTGTTAACTCTATTCAGCAAATACGCGGCAGTACGAAGTGCATGACCCCATAAGTATGCCGGTAAGTTTGTGAACCCCATCATTGATCGAACCATATCTAATAAAGTTCGATTCCGACGTTCGGAGACTCCATTAAGTTGAGGAGTTCCCGGTGGAGTCCATTGGGATTGTATCCCATTCTCTTTTAGATAGTCAATGAACTCGATGCTCAAGTATTCTCCACCACGATCGGATCGCAGCTTCTTAATACTTCGTCCGAGTTGCTTTTCCACTTCGTGTCTAAAATATTTGAACTTTTCAAATGTTTCAGACTTGTACTTCATCAAGTACACATACCCACACCTAGAATAATCGTCGGTAAAGGTAGCGAAGTAGTTATATCCACCCTTCGCACTAACACTTAGTGGACCACATACGTCTGTATGGATCAAATCCAAAAGACCCTCGGCTCGTTCCATTTTCCCTTTGTAGGGTGACTTGGTCATTTTCCCTTTAAGGCAAGATTCACAAGTTTGCAGTGATTTCACGTCCTCCAAAGAGAACAATCCTTCACTAACAAAATCGTTCATCCTTCTTAAAGAGACATGACCTAATCTAGCGTGCCAAAGTTGTGCGGGGTTTTGATCTATCTCCTTACGTTTTGCTGATATAACATTAATAGGTATTTCACTTGGATTTAGTTCATACAAGTTGTTTAATAGTCGTCCTTTGCAAATTAAATTCTCATTCTTTTGTATAATGCAAATCGAATTTCCAAAAACAAAAGTAAAACCTTCAATATCTAATACAGGAATAGAAATAAGGTTTCTAATGAGCGACGGAACAAATAAACAATCGTTCAAAACAATAGGAAAACTAGAATCCAAAACATTTAAGTAAATTGTGCCAATGGCTTCAGCAGCAACTCTTGCTCCATTCCCCATCCTTAGGTAGGTCTCACCCGCTCTAAGTTTTCGACTTCTTGTCATTAGCTGCAAATCATTGCACAAATGTGAGCCACAGCCCGTATCCAATACCCAAGAAGAAGAGTTGACAGACAAATTTACGTCAATGAAATACGTACCCTTTTCAGAACCTTTCTGCTTTAGGTAAGCCTTGCAGTTGCGGCGCCAATGTCCTTTCTTTCCACAGTGATGGCAAGCATCATCAACTTGTTTGCCAACCTTTGCTTTGGGGCCCCCACTACCTTCACCCACTTCGAACTTGCTGTTTGGGAAGGAAACTCTTTCCTTTCTCTTCTTTTGGAAAGAACTCTTCTTTCCAGAAGGAGCAGCAATGAGAACAGACTTCTCTTTCTTAATGGTGGACTCGAAGCTGACCAACATGTTCATTAACTCATCCAAGGGAGGATCTAGTTTGTTCATGTTGAAGTTCACTATGAACGATTCATAGGAACTAGGAAGAGACAACAGGATCAAATCAAACGAGAGCTCGGCCGGGAGGGTGACATCAAGATTCACTAGCTTTTCAAGGAGAGTGATCATTTTGAGACAGTGCTCGTGAACCGAAGTCCCTTCGCGCAGTCTCGCTGTGATCAACTCCTTTGTAGCAGCGTACCTCGATGCCCTAATATTCTCACTATACATGCTATCGAGATGAGCCTTTATATCGAAAGCATGCAAGTGAGACTCATATTTCCTCGCAAGCGCGGGCTCCATGGCGGCTATCATATAGCACCTAGCATGAGTGTCATCTTTCTTCCAAACTTCATAAGTTTCCTTTTCAGCATCAGTCGCTGTGGTAGGTATAGTGGCGGGAAGCCTCTCGTTCAAAACATAGAGACGCCCCTCAACAGTTAGCACAAGCTTAAGACTACGCAACCAATCTAGGTAATTAGGGCCATTGAGTTTATTGTCGAGGATTGACATTATGGGATTCTTAGACATTATTATCTGAGACATATAGAGAAGAGGATTATTAGAGATTCGCGTTAAATGATTGTTACAATTAAATGTTTGGACTTATGTTATTTAATTGTTCTCCCACTAATTTTATCGAGTTCCACTTCCCTCTAGTAGACAAACGAGAAAACTGATTTTTCTTAATGGGCTTTAGGTCCAATAGACAAATATAACCCGTAGTTAATCTAGCCCGATTATATTTGCCCAAAGGTAGATCACAATCAATCATATCCACAATATGACCCTAAATTAAATTTTTCCTCACACTTGATAATGACCTAAGTTAATCTCGCGAATATCAAAATCGTCGTGTGTCAAGTCTAACCTACCAATCAAAGATGCTCATAGAACTTGATTATGCCAAACTAATGCAGTCCCTAGTTAATCTAGCCGACCACGTTAATCCAACATAACCCTTTTCTATGGCTACCTTCATCATTATGTCAATTGAATTACAGCTTACTCTACCATAGCACTCCCCGCTAACACGGCTTACTGCACTACAGCAAAGGGCTACACATAATCCAACCGTTGGCAGAAGGAAAGAAATAACTCAACAGATTGGGTTTTTCTTTATAGCTTGAAATGATTCTTAATTAAATTAAGAATGAGGGATTTTTATTAAAATGTTTTATCTCATCAGAAGGTTCGGATTGGTCTATGTGATTCCTACATCTATGTTCTCTAAAGGTATATGGAAACGCATATTGTCCTAAGAGGAACATACGACCTAATTTCATAATTAATTACATTAATTAATTATCGAGTTTTCAAAATAATTATAGAACCTCAACTAGCATAAATCATTCAAATAATGTTGAGGTACTACTAATTAAGTTGAATTTATAATCAATATTATATATGTGTTCTATTAATTGAAATCAATTTAACAATTTAAATAAATTTAATTAATCTAACACCTATTTACTAAAATAGATGATTGTCGATCCAATTATCTAATTGGGATTAATTGAAAATAATTTTCCAAAAATTAAAATCAATTTGTTTTAAGTTTAATTTTAGAAATCTGAATTTTTTTTTTTTTTTTTTTTTTTTTTTTTTTTTATTTTCAGTGAACCGGTTCGGCCCAACTGGTCTAACCGGTTCGGACCGAAGCGGTCCGGTTCTGCCCGGTCCAGCTGACCCAAATCAGTGGGTCGGGTTTGTCGGACCGAGAACCGGTCTGACCGACCCGAATCCACTTGGATTCGGTCAACTAAATCGCACACAACCATCGAACCGGCCGGTTCGACCGGTTCGATCCGAACAATTAAAAACCGATGTTTTAAAAATAATTTCAGATCCGATTTTCCAATTTTAAACAATTTTAAAGCTGGAAAATTCTAAACAATATTTCAAAAATATTTTAAACTTACGAAAACTCCCAATTACATAATACGACGATCACTACTTTAATAAATCGAACATGCATAAAATCATAGCATATTAAAACGAACGCAATTAATTGCGCAACGAGCTCTGATACCACTGTTGGGTTTCGGGCACGCATACGCAGCGGAAAACAAAAATTTTATGCGAATTAAACAACTTTAAATCACACAAGTACATGCCCGACAAATTAAATCAATTAATTGCGTACCTTTGCGCTTCCAGCGAAATTAAAAAACAACATACATGCTAAATAATTTAACCGAATTTAAATCAATTAACATGCTCGCGTTTAAACCAAATAACATGCTTGCAATGATTTAAATCGATTACACATAATCACATAAAATCATGCGAAACAAACATGAATACATATACACAGGTTTAAACGAAAATGAATTGAAACTAGGGTTTCGTGTGTTTACCTCTCGACGCGTGAGGTAGGAGCGTTTAGCAAGTCGAGATTGCTACGGAAACCAATCCGTACAATCGGGGCAGCAGCGGTGCAGCGGCAGATCGGCCCACGGCGGCGCGTGAGGTACACGCGCGGTCTTCCGGGGCGGCGCGTGGGGCAGCGTGCGGCTTCGGCTTGTGCGTTGCTCCTCGATTCTTCGATCTACAGTCTTCCTCCTCTCGGATTTCACCTCGTATACTTCGATCTACTAAACACGTGGCACTAGACACGTAATAGTTAGAAAAACGGAAGAAAAAGAGAAGGAAAGAGACTACCAAGCCAATCGGCCGATCAACGGCCGATTCCGGCAAAGCGGCGGAGTGGGCGGCGGTGTTGGCCGTGGGAGAGAGAGGCCGAGAGAGAGAGGGGTGGACGGCTAGGGTTAGGGTTTTTTTTTTTTGTTGTGTGTGCAAGGCCTATAAATCATGTATTTATAGTCCCATGCATAAAACCCTAACGGGCTTAAGTTGGACCGGGCCCAACAGCTTAAGCTCGTTAGTTCCTTTACTTGCTCGTCTCTCTCAATTCAATGATCGGAAAATTGCAACGATTACATTTTCAGAATCATCATAATGTCCTCGTCATTACGAGTGCCAACTCTCGATTTCCAACTTTCCAAAAGTGGAAACCCTAGTTCAGTGCACTTTCTAAATTTGGAAACTTCCCGATTTAGAAAGTTCACTAATACTTTCGCCTATTCTTTTCCTTTTCTTATTCTCATTCGTAATTCCAAATTACGAATGTTGGACTCAATCATATTGATTTCCAATCATGCAAAGATAAACTATTTTATCTTTGACCGTTTATTCAAAGATCTCATGTGCACGAGCAGTGTGACCCTCGATGGTTCAGGTGTAAGCTAGCCGTGGGCCCACAACCCTTTGTGGTCAAAACTCGTCCCCTTCGAGTTACGATTAAGATGAAACTCGTTTCACCTTAATCACCCAACGAATCAAGATTGGCGTCTAGCAACTACGTGTCATGATTCCCTAGATACAAATGAAGTGCCTGCAAGAACCTTCAGATATAGTTAACGTACAGTACGGTCCCTTCGATACATATGTCCCGATCGAACTAGAGGCATTGGTTCATCGAGACCTCTTTATATGTTCGATGACGGTGCGATCGTTCCAAGTGTTGTAATCGTCACGTGCATGACTTAGAGAATCGAATTCTCTAATCATCACTTAGTCAGCTCTGGCCAGAGACTTAGAATGATCACAAACTTTCAGAACACACAATGCACAGACCTCCCACTAGATTTCGGACTGCACGAACACTGGCCCTTGGGATGGTCCTGGGTGGAACTCAGGGACAGGTCACGATACAGCTGGTCCTCTAGTGAAGTCACGGTGATGTCTAGGTCATAAGGACTAATGGTGTACAACTATACCATAGATATCTCTACTCGATTATTGGGAACCACTTAGAGATTTCTAGGGTGAGGGAGTTCAGTGAACTCGTCAACTTACGAGCACCCACTTATGCATGCCGATATCACAATACCGTTTACTGATGAGATGCAGTACACATACACTAAGTGCTAGTCTTAATGGGAAAGGCCGATATCCTCATTAGTGGCGTAACCCTTCGACTAGGAACACGTTTAACAGTTATAATACTTAAGTAAATATCTCACGATCCTAACGATCAATTACTAGTACTTGTAATAACTGTAAGGACTATATCTATGCTTGTGACAAAGGGACAAAGATATAGAATGCCAATGTGTTTTATCATTAATACGAATAAAGGTTCGTTTATTACAATAATAAATACGAAAGACCACAGCCACAAGTTGGCTTGTTGGTCACCTACTCTAACACAAGGGACGCGGGAGGAACCGGCGGACCCAACACATGGTGGCAAATACCTGAGGTCGAAAGACCAGTATGGAAAACCCACAATTAAAGAAATGAAATACGGCTAATACCTGAGGTCGAAAGGCCGGTATGGAAACCCCCGTATTATCTATTGGCCAAATTTGATGAACAGGTTCCGAAAATCAAAGTCTATTGCTATCAGTCAAGTACCACACTTCAAGGGTACCCGATAAAGAGAAGGATTTCAAAGAAAAGGATCACGAATGAAGTTATAGATGTGATATTGTACTTATTGAATGGATAATGTGTTATGTGATTGATATATTGCTATTACATCAGTTTGAACTTGCTGAGCCATTAGCTCATTAGGTTCTTATGATGCAGGTAATGATGTACATGTTTAGAAGTTGACCTAGCCAAGAGCGGCCAGTCAGATATTTGTTCATATGCCATGCTTCGAGCCATTTTTGTAGCCGAGCAGAAACTCTGATTTCATTTTGTTAGCCGCTCTATTATGGTTTTTGTACAATGTAATTTTGTAAACAATGAATATATATATGTACGGATTTTGAGAAAGTACAAAGTTTGATTTCGTTTCAAAGCATATAACGTATTTTTGTATTAAAACCATAATGTTTAAGTATATATATAAAAATCTTAGCATCCCTAACTTAATGGCGGTGATCCGATTGGATTCTGTTGTTAGGTTGTGCGGTGTTACATTTTTGGTATCAGAGCAGAGGTTTAAAATCTTTTCTGAAGACAGAAGAAGGCATATGAACATACTTTGGCAGGGAAGCTTGGTTAACTCTTTTCTTATTTACCTATGTGTTGAATTTATATGTTGCATAGCAAATATCCAGAATTGTTCGGTACGTCAAATTTCGAGCACGAAGTCGAGCATAACTTTCTCATCCGGACTCCAAATCAACTGGTTTCGGCGGCATTAGAAAGCTATTTCAGCTGGCTACAATTCCTGTCTAACGTGAAAAATCCAAATTCGAACTCGAACATGGTCAAAATTGGATTCCAAAAGCGATCATGAAAATACTTACTACAGTTCGAGGACATGAATGCGCATCAAGAAACGTGCACAAAAATTGTCGCTAGAAAGATACGCACATAAGTAAGTATACAAAGGCATGCACAAAAGTACTCAAGCAAAAGTGCATTCGCAAAAAGGATCATGAAAACACAAACTACAATCCTAGGACATTAATACAAATCAACAAACATGCACAAGCACACTCGCTCACATGGACATGCACTAACGTACATGTAAAAAAAACATGCGCAAAAGTGCATTCGCAACAACGTTCTTAAAAACATGAACTACAATACTAGGACTTTAATACGCATCAATAAACAACAACAAAAACACTAGATAAAAAAGATATAGTGGAGTGTAGAAATAAAACTCTACGTTTTTGTTTAAGTGGATTTTTTTTTGGATAAATTTATTTTCTGTTTGAATTGGTGGATTTGGTATCTTATAGGTACAAATCGATTAGGTGTCCAGGAAGCAAAAATGATCAAAGAGAAAGAAAAGAGTTGCAATTAGGAAAATAAAATCAAATTAGAAGAGAGAATCCCTAAATATCTTTGGTAGTGTACGTCCACGAAGTCGAGCATAACTTTCTCATCCGGACTCCAAACCAACTGGTTTCGGCGGCATTAGAAAGCTATTTCAGCTGGCTACAATTCCTGTCTAACGTGAAAAATCCAAATTCGAACTCGAACATGGTCAAAATTTGATTCCAAAAGCGATCATGAAAATACTTACTACAGTTCGAGGACATGAATGCGCATCAAGAAACGTGCACAAAAATTGTCGCTAGAAAGATACGCACATAAGTAAGTGTACAAAAGCATGCACAAAAGTACTCACGCAAAAGTGCATTCGGAAAAAGGATCATGAAAACACAAACTACAATCCTAGGACATTAATACAAATCAACAAACATGCACAAGCACACTCGCTCAAATGGACATGCACAAACGTACAAGTAAAGAAACATGCGCAAAAGTGCATTCGCAACAACGTCCTTAAAAACATGAACTACAATACTAGGACTTTAATACGCATCAATAAACAACAGCAAACACACTAGATAAAAAAGATATAGTGGAGTGTAGAAATAAAACTCTACGTTTTCGTTTAAGTGGATTTTTTTTTGGATAAATTTATTTTCTGTTTGAATTGGTGGATTTGGTATCTTATAGGTACAAATCGATTAGGTGTCCAGGAAGCAAAAATGATCAAAGAGAAAGAAAAGAGTTGCAATTAGGAAAATAAAATCAAATTAGAAGAGAGAATCCCTAAATATCTTTGGTAGTGTACGTCCACGAAGTCGAGCATAACTTTCTCATCCGGACTCCAAACCAACTGGTTTCGGCGGCATTAGAAAGCTATTTCAGCTGGCTACAATTCCTGTCTAACGTGAAAAATCCAAATTCGAACTCGAACATGGTCAAAATTTGATTCCAAAAGCGATCATGAAAATACTTACTACAGTTCGAGGACATGAATGCGCATCAAGAAACGTGCACAAAAATTGTCGCTAGAAAGATACGCACATAAGTAAGTATACAAAGGCATGCACAAAAGTACTCAAGCAAAAGTGCATTCGCAAAAAGGATCATGAAAACACAAACTACAATCCTAGGACATTAATACAAATCAACAAACATGCACAAGCACACTCGCTCACATGGACATGCACTAACGTACATGTAAAAAAAACATGCGCAAAAGTGCATTCGCAACAACGTTCTTAAAAACATGAACTACAATACTAGGACTTTAATACGCATCAATAAACAACTACAAAAACACTAGATAAAAAAGATATAGTGGAGTGTAGAAATAAAACTCTATGTTTTCGTTTAAGTGGATTTTTTTTTGGATAAATTTATTTTCTGTTTGAATTGGTGGATTTGGTATCTTATAGGTACAAATCGATTAGGTGTCCACGAAGCAAAAATGATCAAAGAGAAAGAAAAGAGTTGCAATTAGGAAAATAAAATCAAATTAGAAGAGAGAATCCCTAAATATCTTTGGTAGTGTACGTCCATGAAGTCGAGCATAACTTTCTCATCCGGACTCCAAACCAACTGGTTTCGGCGGCATTAGAAAGCTATTTCAGCTGGCTACAATTCCTGTCTAACGTGAAAAATCCAAATTCGAACTCGAACATGGTCAAAATTTGATTCCAAAAGCGATCATGAAAATACTTACTACAGTTCGAGGACATGAATGCGCATCGAGAAACGTGGACAAAAAACTGTCGCTAGAAAGATACGCACATAAGTAAGTGTACAAAAGCATGCACAAAAGTACTCACGCAAAAGTGCATTCGGAAAAAGGATCATGAAAACACAAACTACAATCCTAGGACATTAATACAAATCAACAAACATGCACAAGCACACTCGCTCAAATGGACATGCACAAACGTACAAGTAAAGAAACATGCGCAAAAGTGCATTCGCAACAACGTCCTTAAAAACATGAACTACAATACTAGGACTTTAATACGCATCAATAAACAACAGCAAACACACTAGATAAAAAAGATATAGTGGAGTGTAGAAATAAAACTCTACGTTTTCGTTTAAGTGGATTTTTTTTGGATAAATTTATTTTCTGTTTGAATTGGTGGATTTGGTATCTTATAGGTACAAATCGAAAATAAGGTGTCCAGGAAGCAAAAATGATCAAAGAGAAAGAAAACAGTTGCAATTAGGAAAATAAAATCAAATTAGAAAAGAGAATCCCTCAAAATCTTTGGTAGTGTATGTCCACGAAGTCGAGCATAACTTTCTCATCCGGTCTCCAAATCAACTGGTTCCGGCGGCATTAGAAAGCTATTTCAGCTGGCTACAACTCCTGTTCAACGTGAAAAATTCAAATTCGGACTCGAACATGGTCAAAATTGGATTCCAAAAGCGATCATGAAAATACGTACTACAGTTCGAGGACATGAATGCGCATCGAGAAACGTGCACAAAAAAAGTCGCTAGAAAGATACGCACATAAGTAAGTATACAAAGGCATGCACAAAAGTACTCACGCAAAAGTGCATTCGCAAAAAGGATCATGAAAACACAAACTACAATCCTAGGACAGTAATACAAATCAACAAACATGCACAAGCACACTCGCTCAAATGGACATGCACAAACGTACATGTAAAAAAACATGCGCAAAAGTGCATTCGCAACAACGTTCTTATAAACACGAACTACAATACTAGGACTTTAATACGCATCAACAAACAACAACAAAAACACTAGATCAAATAGGTACAGTGGAGTGTAGAAATAAAACTCTACGTTTATGTTTAAGTGGATTTTATTTTTGGATGAATTTATTTTCTGTTTGAATTGGTGGATTTGGTATCTTATAGGTACAAATCAAAAATTAGGTGTCCAGGAAGCAATAATTATCAAAGAGAAAGAAAAGATTTGCAATTAGGAAAATAAAATAAAATTAGAAAAGAGAATCCCTCAAAATCTTTGGTAGTGTACGTCCACGAAGTCGAGCATATCTTTCTCATCCGGACTCCAAATCAACTGGTTCCAGCGGCATTTTAAGCTATTTCAGCTGGCTACAATTCCTGTCTAACGTGAAAAATCCAAATTCGGACTCGAACATGGTCAAAATTGGATTCCAAAAGCGATCATGAAAATACGTACTACAGTTCGAGGACATGAACGCGCATTGAGAAACGTGCACAAAAACTGTCGCTAGAAAGATACGCACATAAGTAAGTATACAAAGGCATGTACAAAAGTACTCACGCAAAAGTGCATTCGCAAAAATGATCATGAAAACACAAACTACAATCCTAGGACATTAATACAAATCAACAAACATGCACAAGCACACTCGCTCAAATGGACATGCACAAACGTACATGTAAAAAAACATGCGCAAAAGTGCATTCACAACAATGTTCTTATAACACGAACTACAATACTAGGACTTTAATACGCATCAACTAACAACAGCAAAAACACTAGATCAAATAGGTACAGTGGAGTGTAGAAATAAAACTCTACGTTTACGTTTACGTGGATTTTTTTTTTTGGATTAATTTATTTTCTGTTTGAATTGGTGGATTTGGTATCTTATAGGTACAAATAGAAAATTAAGTGTCCAGTAAGAAAAAATGATCAAAGAGAAAGAAAAGAGTTGCAATTAGGAAAATAAAATCAATTTAGAAAAGAGAATCCCTCAAAATCTTTGGTAGTGTACGTCCACGAAGTCGAGCATAACTTTCTCATCCGGACTCCAAATCAACTGGTTCCGGCGGCATTTGAAAGCTATTTCAGCTGGCTACAATTCCTGTCTAACGTGAAAAATCCAAATTCAGAATCGAACATGGTCAAAATTGGATTCCAAAAGCGATCATGAAATTACGTACTACAGTTCGAGGACATGAATGCGCATCGAGAAACGTGCACAAAAACTGTCGCTAGAAAGATACGCACATAAGTAAGTATACAAAGGCATGCACAAAAGTACTCACGCAAAAGTGCATTCGCAAAAAGGATCATGAAAACACAAACTACAATCCTAGGACATT